TTGTAAGTTTTTTTTATTATTTTATGTATAAATAAATTTTTAATTTTCAAATATTAATTTAATAAATTTTTAGATTCGAACAAATAATTTAACAGCAAATACCATGCAATCTGTTCGAAATATAAAAACAATATATGTTTCACCACGAGAAGATTATGTTGAAAAAGCTCTCTTGAAAACCTGGCTTTATGAATCAACAAATCCTTTTCCTTCAAAAGTTAAAGCTATTGATGCATCATCAATTATCAAACTGGTTATTCAACATAATGAAGAAGCAATAATTCGTGAACAAAATACTGGTAGATTATTAATGGTGATATTACGAGACCGGATTGGTGTAGATGTCTTAGAACATTTTAATATTACTATTAATGATATGTTTGATTACCGTCGTCCTGTTGCCCGACAAGAAGCTGAATCACTCAACCAAGGTCATTTAACTGCTGCTGGTTATCTTGCTACCTGACAATGTGGAATTTTCACTCATGTTTTAAACTTGAAAAACAAGCTTCGTGGATCTAATTTACAATATGAACACGAGACTAAGGTAGTTGCTGTCAATGTACTACTTTTCAATTATACAATGGGTTTATTTTCTGTTGAAGTTACCAGCAATATTAATCAAGTTATTGAGAATTATCAACTTTCTCAACTTGATAATTATAATTATGAAGTAGTAGTGAAAGGTTTTACAGTTTCTTATATAGACAAGAATATTCAATTATCTTTTTCTCTTGGACTTTGTCAGGCTTATACATCATTGAATTATGCCAAATATAATTATGTCAATTATAATATTTTGAATTTTGCATTTGCTTGTATTATTAAAAGAGGAATAAAAAATAATAATAATCAATCAATAATTGAGGAAGATAATTTTGAAGGTGATAATTTTTTCTTATCCAAATGGAGTATTAAAATTGAAATGGCAACAAATACTTTTTAGTGTTGGCCAGAAAGAGATGAACATGGTACTATAGTTTTTCCTTCTTATGAATATCAAGCTGGTTGGTCTCAAAATTTGTCACAAAAAACAGTTATAGCTATTACAAAATGGAGAGAAGGAACTGAAAATCCAGTTCATGTTGAATATCGACAAAATCAGATTGATAATAATTCTTATGCTGCAACTGCTTTAAAAATTTCAATAAAAAAAGATGAGGATAAGAATAATGATGAAAATGAAGATGAGAATGAAGATGAAAATGAAGATGAAGAAGAATTAGAAAAAAAAATTGGTGAATTTATGCAATTAAGATTTAATCAATGAAAATGGATTTAATTTATATTATTTATATTTTTGTAAAATTTTTTATTTAAATTTAATAATTATTAAATATTAATTTTAATTTATAATAAAGTTTTTAAATTTAATATATAATAATATATTTTTTTATTTTATATTTGATATAATTTTGAATTTTAGTATAATTTTGAATTTTAACATGATTTTGAATTTTGGTATGACTTTGAATTTTGACATGATTTTGAATTTTGATATAACTTTGAATTTCAATATAACTTTGAATTTCAGTATTTCAACAATTAAATTTTATTTGTTGAAATAATATTTAATAATTTCAGCTTGATAGATTGCTGAAACTCCTGAATTTTGACAAGCATCCTTAGATGAGACTGTGTCATTATCATAGTCTTCTTTCATGGGAACTGCATTCTGTTCCGGGATCTGTTCTTTTTTGATCATACTGCAAGTGGTAGAATGGATAATGTTATTATAGGATGTAAGACGTGATTTTTTTGATTTTCTATTAGTTGAATTAATTTCTGGAATTTCAATGGAATTATTATCAGTGAAAGAGTATTTTTTCTTGCAGATTTTTGTGATGGAGTTAAAGATAGTTTTTTGGCTATGCTATCAAGGAAGGAACTTGGCTCTTCAGAAGAAGCCATTTTGAATATATTTAAAAATTATTATTGTTTGTATTTTTGTATTTGTAGTATTATATGTAATTTTTTTATGTTTTTAATTTTTATGTGTTTTTAAAGTAATGAAGTAAAGATAAAAGAATTAGTTCTATAGATATATATATGATATTGGTATTGATAGATAGGTAGACAATTATAGAATATTTTTGCTTATTGAAGATAAACAAAATAAAGCTTTAGCTTGGGAGTAAAAGGACTTTTTTGAACTTGTACTGTGACTTAGCCCATGGTCAAGAGATCTATGTGATTAAGATGTAAAAAAGAATTTTGATTTTTTGTAAGTTATTATTATTATTATTTTTTTTATTTGCTGTAGTGTAGTCTTGTTTACAGAGTTATCTAATCTAGTATACAGATACGAAGGATAAGAAATTAAACTGAAAACCACCAATAAACTACATTAAAAGCTATCGACGCGACTAGCCACCAGTGACCGTCAGACTACACAAAGCTGAGGTTGTCCACCAAATTGTTGCTTAAAGTTTTCAATTTGATGATATTGATAATGTTAGTATTGCTATATAGAATAGGTGTGAATGCAGGAGGGCAATTGCCGTTAATATGTTCTTCTGGAAGAAATTCACAATCGCATAGAAATGGATTGGAAAATTTTTTGTATAGTGAGGTGTAATGTGAGCTGCTGTTAACAGGGCGACCAGATCTGTTAGTGGTATTGATTTTGTGTTTTTTTAGTATGTTATTATGTTTGTCAGCGTTGATTTGTGTTGTGCATCTGGCATTCCAAATTTTGATTTTGACTTGTAAGGCGAACCAGTATGTCAATTTGTGAGCTATGGATGTGGCTGTTTTTTGATTAAACTGAAATTTTTTAATGAAAGTAATGAGATTATCTGGAACAAATCCGTATATCAGATGAGTAATGTTGAGTTGAAGATTAGCTGAGTTGTTGAAATCAGTAGAGAGAAAATGTGCTGACTTGCAGAAAGCTTTGACTTGTGTTGAGTGTTGTGTGTTGTCGATATCAGTAATAATTTTTTCTTTTTTTGTTTGTTTAATGAGCTTGGTAGAGAGTTTGTCGATGAATTCAGTAATGATGTCCTGAAGAAGAGGTTGTGAGGAGGAGCATGACCAAATGTGTAGTTGAGTTTCTTGTTTTTTGTTGCATCTGGAGCAAGTGTCTGAAGGATAGAGATGAGGT